ATATATATATATATATGATTGACTGATTGTTTGAAGACAAAAAGCTTTAAATCCTATTATTTAAATAACAAATCTTTTTCAGGGTGGTGTAGCAAGAAAAAACAGGAAGATTCGACATCGTGCAAGTACCTTGAGCACAGATAGTGGTGTTGGGGGCACCCCAGATCTGGAGGAACCTGACAGATTACTGGTAAAGTAGACAAGCAAAGCATATTAACTACTAAGTAGTAGTTGTAGCAAGATAATAGGTCACAATCTTAATTCAGTCCAACAGTAAAATTGAAATCAATTTATAAAGAAATCAATTGATAGTCCTAATTTGTGCTAGTTAGTCCTAATTTGTGCTAGTTAGTCCTAATTTGTGCTAGCCAATTTAAAAAAACATTATACATTGCCATAGTAACCAAACTATGGATTAGATTACAGTGCTGTAAAACATTATTTTGCTTGAGGTGGCCATGATAGAAAAAAAGTAAATGGGTGGATGTTGATTTAACAATTACTGAAAAAAAAGGAAAATGGATTTTGAATGCATTTGAACATAGAACTCTGAGATTGATGGTCTCAACCAAAAAGATAATAGTGTCTATAATATATAAAAAAAAAACATCTATTACATCTACTATATTTTTGTGCATTTAATATTTTCTATTATATATCTATATCTATTTGTTTAGATGTCAGTGCTTTACATAACTTTCCTTGCGCTATTCTTTATAGCCTGGCAGTACTGACATCGAAAGAACAGACAGTGGTGTAGGTTCCGAGACAAATGGACGCCGCATCCTCAGTCATTGCGATTCCACACCTAGCACAACATCTTGTTACGATTGCAGTAATTTTTTTGAATATCAACAGCAGATCATACTGTAAGTTGCCATGGTTCAAATTATTTAGAAATTGATATTTAATATCAAAATATTAATGCAAGACAAGAATTATGTCTCTCTAAATTTGTACATCACTATAGTAACACAGCTATAAATCTTATAACTTATACGTTACTGTGGTTACGATATTGATTTTGTTTTCTGTGTGACTTTTGTGATACTTTCTCAATTCATGAAAAATGCAGCAGCATTTTAATGAATTCTGTTAGTGATGATTTAGTTTTATTCCGACATTCAATCTGTCAATCATTTCTATATATGTGACTGGCTCTGGCAAAACCCGCCATTCGTCGCAATTAATTTCAGAATTTTGTACATTTTCTTGGTTTTGCTTTTTATAAAAGAAGATATTTTGAAGAACAATTCTGCAAAATATCAATCATTATATCTAACTGAAAAGTATTTTAAAATTATTTTTAAAATACAAATCTTAATAATAAATTATTGATTTTAGAATCTTTTGGAAGCTGTTTTCTAAAAACATACATGGCTGATATCCAATGAATTAAATATTCATAATTTTGCTAATACTCAACCAATTTCCATCAACTAAACAGTTTTAAAGAATTTATGTAGAATCTAAAAATTCCAAAAACTCAATTTTTAGATTTTCCTACAAACAGCTGGTTTTGCCAGAGCCAGTCACATATAATAAAGTAATCAATTTGCATGAGTGCACAAGGAGAATAACTTAATAGATAGAATTAAAAGATAGAATAGTCCATCTTTAAAAATATGAAAATATGTTTTCCATTACACAAACAATTCTGTATTTGTTTTACGATATATAAAACAGTATATCAAAGAATATTTAAATTAAAATTATTAAAAGAATGTATTTATTTTACTAAATTGTTGACTTTTGCATACAGTACTGTATAATAATTATATTTTGTATGTATATTATTTAATTTCTGCATTTAACTTTTGCTTTTTATTGATGTTATTTTGTTAATTGTAAATAAGGTATCTCACGGCCATAATGAAAAATAGCTTTGTATTTGTTGATTTGTGCTTCGTGAATAAATAATGTTTTACTACTACTTTACTAATACTGTACTTACTTAACATAATAGTATTCTTACTTGTTTAACATAATAGTATTTTTTTTTTTTATAAAGTACTGTAAAATATAATTATATATTATTAAATATTTATTAGAAATACAAGATGGAACTACATAATAAAAATATAATCTATGTAAAAATTAATTTTTTAAAAGATATTGTTCTTCGTAACTATTTTTTTATCTTCATAGACATGGTAGCGAATATTTATGTGAGAAGTGTGATGGGAAACGAACAACAAGAAAAGAGGCAATTATGGAGTTTGTGCAGACAGAGGTCAACTATCTGGAAGACATAAAGGTCATGCACAGGGAGTTTTATGTTGCCATGGAGAATGCTGGTCTACTTACACCAGAACAACTCAAAACGGTTTTTATCAATTTACAAGTAAGTCTTTTTACGTGGTCAACTGGAGAGACACGTTCTTCCAGAAATAATAGGGAGACAGATGTCTATATTATTTGGCATAAGTCAGTGATGATATCATTATTATTTTATATAGCGCAATATAATAAAATATAACCATAAGATGTGCTCTGTTTGACAGAAATGACATTAAATAAGAGATGATTTAACCAAGCAATGGTATACAGGTGTTCAGATTATTTAGAACCATTTCTATAGTCCAATTGCATAACTCAATTTATGATTAAATGCAGCATTGTAGGTAACACAGGAGATGTTTTTATAGGGTGCAGTATATGAAGCAAGCATGTGTTTTTATCTTTCTTTTAATTGATGTTTACATTTATTTATGATTTGATTGCATACAGAGCATAGCTTTGTAGACAAGGACCATTGGATGCAAATTTTTAAATAATAATAATAATGCAATAAAACTTATAAAGTGCCTATTAAAGTTAAAAAATAACTTGCCACCGGTGCTAAGAGATACTGTAAATTGAAAAACAGCTGCAAAAGAATCCCATAAAAGAACAGAAAACAGATTAGTGAAAATTTACAGAAATGGGTAGGTTTTTAGTTGAGTAAAAAAATAACTGAGGACAAGTGATATTACAGAGATCAGCATGGTGCGTAATTCTAAAGTATAGGAGCTGAGAAAAAGAAAGATTGCTCACCAGTACGCACATGTCTGTCTCATGGAATACGAAGAATGTTAGAATAAAAAGAATGGGTTGGAAGAGTAGTATAGTGAGGAGATGGACAAGCGAGGAAAGATAAAAAGTGCAAGGCCATTGATGGAATTGAAAGTTAGAAAGAGGATCTTCAACTTCTGTCTTTGTCTGACAGCAAAATACAAAGTGAAACAAAAATTATTTGTTTTGATTATTAGATTGAATATGTTGACTATACATATAATGATAAAACAGTATAAATTAAAGCTTTGAGATAAGTGCGAGGTACAGTTAAAGCTTTTCATTGGTAGTGCAAACAATTGTCAACTTGCCTATTGAATACATAATTGGACAGAACTAGGTAAATAGAACTTTAGTAAATAATGTTGGTTTTATTTTAAGGAACTTATTGAAGTGAGTGAGAAGTTTACGGATTGTCTACAGGACTGCCTAGAAAATGCGGCAGATGAAGATGACAATGTAAGCATTTTGTTTAGTTACCTTTGAAGTTTAAAAACCCAATATTAAATTAAGATGAAACTGTAGGCTTAGCCTTTCAACAAATATTCTAAATTGGCAGATAAAATTGCACTTGATATGAAGTAAAATATACAAAGTTAATTCACTTATTTTGTTCACAAAATTTATTACTATGATTAACATTGTTCTTGCGCTCTTTTTGTAGGATTTCATTAATGTAAATATTGGTAAATTGTTTCTGGAGAACCTCAGCATGTTGTTTCCTGCATTTGAAGCATATTGTGTCAATCAAGTAAGTCGCAAGGCCTAATTAAATTTAAAATAAGACATTTTAGAAATTCAGTAGTAACTGTAGACAACCCTTGGGCCTACCAGTATCAGAAACTCAGGAACAGTAACTGAACACAGACAAGCTTAGTTTAAACCCAGGTTAACCATAGTTGAACTCCAGGTACCAAAAGCAAATTTAGTTGAGTCACACTCGATCCTAACTGAACCTCAGGCAAAGCCAGTTGTATCCCTTTCAAAATCTAACAAACTCCATGCAACCATAGCCTAGGCCTACCTAAAGTTCAAGACAGGCTAACTAACCAAACATTATGTGCAGAACACAGCCACCTTAAGTTTTTTTTATAAAAAAGTATTAATAGTTTAATCAAGAAAATTGTAGCTTACCTTGTAAGAAAAACATATTGTCAAAATGTTACCCACCATACTAATCTTTTAAGCCCATGATAACTATGACCCTACAGCTTATACAAAAGAGGTTAAAGGTGAGCAATATGCAAATTTGACCATTGGCCTAATAATTCTAATTTTTTAATTATTTATTTTAATTATTTTATTAGAGGTTTTATATCATCTAAAAAATGGTGCAGTCTCAAAGAATTGGTAGTTTATCTCAAAGTCTCTGTCATGGGCATAAGCATGGCCATTATTATTCTTAGCATACATACTTATATTAAGTGACAAAAAATACCTTTGACTTAATTTTCAGCCAACTGGTGCTGCCCTCCTAAAATCTCTTGAAAGTGAGAAACAGTTGTTACGTGTTTTCCTTGAAGTTTCACAGAATGACAACCGGGCAGTTCGTCGACAACACTTAAAGTCATTTCTTATGGTGCCAGTACAGAGGAGTATGAGGTATTCATGATTCAAGGAACAATTCCCATCATCATGATCACCGTGATCACCTTCTTCATAATTGTCACAAGACAAACATCTTCATCCTTGCCCAGGAAAAGAAAAAACTACAGTAGTGAATGTTGAAGATGAAGACAAAATATCGCATTCAGACATAAAAAACAGTTTAACAAAGTGCCTGATTAAAATACTCAGAAAAAGTTCAGTCATTTAGAGCATTGTCTATCAAATAAAATAATGTTTGAAATGATTTTGGTTTGACAGTCTCAGATATTTTTTTTGCTTGTTTTATATTTGCTTGTTTTTTTTTTGTGTAAATTTTTGTTAAGTGTGTAATCATTGTATAGAATTGAATTTTAAAAGATTAATATTTATGTTAGGGTGCCCATAGAAAGTATGTATTTGATGGTTTTTAACTTTTTTAAAGATATCCGTTGCTACTGAACCGTATTTACAAATCAACGCCCGCTTGGCATGATGATAGAGAGCGTTTGCAAGAAGGTCAGAGGAGAACAGAAGACTTTTTGGAAGAAGTAAATGTGGTAAGTTATTTTTTTTTAAATTTTTACTTATTAACATTTTTTATTGGACTTGGCTGTTATTTGCTCGTTTTTACTTCCAGAGAACAGCTTCTGCAACTATCATCATGGGATAGGCAGACCATGGAAAACTGGAATGAAGTGATATGCAGAGATTTCAAAGTTATTTTTTCCTTCTATCCCACAACTACAATCAACACCAGCATTTATAGATCTTAATTAAGTATTTATATTTAATATATCTTTTTTTATTTGACAGCAAAGTCAAGGTAGCTCTGCAACGAAATCTACAATAAAACATCATGGCTCCTTCACTACATCGATACCAAGCAATATCAAGGCAGAAATTAGAAAGGTGAGATCAAATGAAACTGTCTGACCTTCAATAAAATTCTTTGAATTACCTACCCATTTTATGTTTGCCCTAAAACTGAAATAAGCATTAAAACAAGATTACTCATTTGTAAATCAATACAATATTTATTTATTTATTTTATTTTATTCCTTTTTGCAATCAACGAATAAAAAGTACATAAAACCAGAACAAATTGCAAGAAAATCCAAATTAGAGCCAAGGAAAAACAAAAGCGGCATGGCCACTGTCATTCAGAAGGATGTGCTATTCTGTGATAAAGATATATTATGATAAAATGATATTTTGATTTTTTGACAGGTTGCGGTAGACAGTGTTTCTTGGAATCTTGAGACTGTACATCTTGTTCATATGACACAGCTCCTACTAGGCCCTGGTCTGGAACAAATATGGCAGAAGATGATCAGCACCCCCAGGCATGTGCCAGTCTACGCTGTGCTTGTTTGCACTGGAAAGGTTTGTATGAACAGCTTAGGTCTAGTCTGAAAAATTAGGTTAATCGTTTATTCTTTTAACAAGTATTATTAATCGGGCACAGACTAGCCTCGTTCACATCGAACTATGTCGACTAGATTATCTACTTGACGTCGACAATAGTTTCGACGTGAACGGTCAATTACGGCGAGATAAAGTTCATAACTCGACGATGGCTGTTAGCTCGACTAACTTGTAAATCCAGTCATCGTCAAGTTGATAACGCACCACGGGTGGCCTCAGGTCACGAATACACCAATCAGAACGAAGCCGGTTGACCCTTAGCAAGCTTGTCAGTGTAGGCCTAGCTTAGATCTTTATATCAATTATGACCGAGAAAGTACGCCAAAAGCGACATTGTTGGACTTATGAAGAAGAATTCGATCTTATTGACATTTGGAAGGAACCAGAGGTATGTGAAAAGGTGGAAGATAAAATGTACAGACAAAAAGCTACCATTCATGAGCAAATGGCTGTACGAATACGTGATCTTGGTCACACCGGGATCACAACCGCCGCTCTCGTGAGCGTAGTTGGTCCAGCAAGGTATCTCGACATAATCGGACCATCGAACGCAATTAGGAGTGTAGCGCTGTTCAATAGTTTATCTACTTATGTCGACAATAACCGATGTGAACCAAGCTACTGGGTCGACAAATAGTCAGTTAACCAACTGACTGTCCACACTCTGTAAGTGTCTGCACAATGCAAATTCTGTCTGTTGGCCATAAGTAGCAGTCACAGAAAGTGATTCTTTTGAGTGACGTAATGTCATGTCATGGTCTTATCAAATCGGTGTGCTAGGAATCATTGACTGCCAAGCTATGTACCTTCTGTACTGTGTGAGAAAGTGAATGCAGACATTCTAAACACAAACCACATCTGCCACTAAGCATTTATATCAGTTTTTTTTTTATGCCCTTTTCCCTATTACTCTCGTTTGTAGGTGGAACGTTTTTCAGAGATTGAAGCCAACCTACCAAAAAATGGAATGCTCTTTCCTCATGTTGATGGGGACAGAAAAGCAGCGTTTGTTCTTGTGAAAGAAAAAACAGCGGGAAAATGTTCAGTTGTTCGAGTAAGTATTCAATCAATTAATCTATGGTTGTGCAATACAGTTTGATGTTAAAAACTGTTAACATTATTTTTACATTGTATTATTTTTACCATAGGAACCGTTTCTCCTTGGAAGATGCATTGTAAGTTCAGAGTCCGAGTCTGTGGATGAATTTACCTTGACGGAGATGGAAGGAGATACCATTGACCTAAAGGTACAGTGTTTTCCAGTACTTATCTACTCAAATACTATGAACTTAATAAAAAAGTTACCTGTCGGTTTGCACTGCGCTTTCGCTTATGCTGATCCCCCAGGCCCAGCCAAAAATTTCAAATTTCAATTTGAAATTTGATAAAGAAAATCTATTTTATCTATTATTTGAAGAATTGGCCAGTTTGATAAAAGGCAAACTACCATGATTCACAGATAAGATTAACAGACTTTACTCTAAAATGGGCAATATATATACATACTGTAGGACAAAGAACCAATGATAATGTACTGCAGAAGTTTCTGTTATTGTACAGAGATGAGTTCAATGACATTTAATTTTTTTTTAATCAATTTAGTGTGAAAACTCTGAAGATTGCGGTAAATGGTTGATAATATTGAAACATTACAGTGTTCAGCTCGGATCTTGGAGACGTCGTCGAAACGCCCTCGCAAACATCATGATAAACCACACGCTTAAATCTTGAGAACTGCATCCCAGTTGGACATTTGGTTCTCTACACACAACAGACCAACAGAAGTCATCTTCTATCATTCTCCTGATGCCAGTCAGAGCAATCTCACCGAAAAGTTGAGACAATCAAAGAGTGGTTTTGCCTCAAAAACCATATTTTTACACACAATGATTTTGTTATCTTTACACACGTAAACATCATGTTAACGCCACAACTCTTTAAGACTTGACTGTTGGTATCTTGCCCATACACAAACCTCCATTGATATCTATCTTAATTTCGCTTTCATTTCTTTAGTTCTATTATGCCAGGCACTCATTGCGCCCGATGGCCGAACACGATTCTATGAAGAACACAACGCGATGACGCGCACGCAACTGATCGTTCTTAATGATGATCCGTTCAGACGATCTTCGACAATCAGCAGATGGCGTCGCGTCGTCTAGCACTCACAGGGGGCGGAGTTGGATTCGCCGGTTGTATGACACAGCGAGTGCCTGGCTTTAGTCTTCGTAATTAAAATTACATGATAATGATAGCCAGAGACATAGATGTGATAGTGTTTTTATTTGTTCTTTATACTGGGTTTTCTCTTCAGTAACAAATTACTGTTCTCCCAGAGGTAACATATGGTACTTAGGTTTGTGTATTAATATTTCTGGAAGGGATGCATTGGAGTATCAATAACAAAATCATGAAACTTTCAGTACAATATGTGTGTGTTCTTTTAGGTAAATCCTCTGGTTGGTTGTTTTTCCCATACACTATGAGACAACCAACCACTGGTTTTACCTCAAACACCATATTTTTACACATGGTGTAATGAAAGCTTAATGGTTTTGTGTATTTTGTCACAATAGCCAATAATTGCCAGTAGCAAATTCAACACATCTTCACTAGGTATGTCAACCCTATACACAGGGACATAATACGACCAGTCTAAAGCCTTGTTTATATGTTAGGCTAGCTGGCTACGATCTCCACGATGCACATAAATTACACTTGCGAACCTTAGTCACCAAAATAAGGCAGCTTGATAATTTCATAATCTGTTCAAATTAGAGCAGATAAAATAGTGCTGCCAAGATTTTAATTGTTAGGTTGTGTAATAAATAAAAATATTTATATTAAATTACCATTATTAATGACTTGAATTAACAATTTTTAAATAAAAAATGTTGTTCAATATGCTACACTTTCTTTAAACATTTGCACCTTAACACATAAGTGCATATTTTTTGGTTTTGGGGGAAGGGGTGGGGGTAACAAGATTTTGTTTGTAATAATAAATCAATTAAAAAAAAAAATAAACCAAGTGCAATATATTTGACAATTAAATTATTAACCAACAATCATGTTAAAATAAACATGTATTTTAAAATCTTAATGTAACTAAATATATATAAAAAAATTGGTGTACCTTTATCAAGTTTTTTAAGATGTCGCCTATTAAGATTTTGATAATCATTTTTAAATTTTTATTATAACCATATTATGTTTGGCATTGTTTTATTCTTATTTTATTTACAATTTTCATGATCATATTATTAAAAAATGTTTTCATATTTTTAAACCAATAATCATACTGTGATTCTGCAATTCATTGTTACTATTTTTTTGTTAAAAAATGTAAATAACACACATTCAAAAATATTAAAACTATGCCAACATTATTTATGAAACATCTAATTTATGCAAAAAAAAATATTATGGATATCCAAAGGGAAAATAAGGGTACAATTCAACGGATTTTTCAATACGTATACCCTCCCTCTAAATATATCGCTACATGGTCTTGGAATATATAATGGTATATTATATAATGGTATATAATATAATGTATGTATGAATTAATCCGTCCATAGTTTGAAGTTTATGTTCATACAGTTGAACTTGCCTAAGTTAAATCCAAAATGGCATTGAAAAATTGTTGGAATTAGATAAAATTTGACCTACAGATCCTTAATGGAAAACAACAATTTGGCATGTTCAATAAGATCGACGAGAAATTATTAAATCATTAAATATAAATACTGTACATATGTTGTTTTTAATTTATGCACAGGACTTAGAAATTATTTGACTTAGGCAAAGTCGACTTATGGTCTTGGAATATATAATGCTATAAAATATAATGTATTTATGAATTAATCCGTCCATAGTTTATGCTCATAGGTTTATTAAGTTTTTAAAATAAAATCCCTATGACATTTACATGACATTCCAACATAATATTTATCTTAAAAAAACATTAAATATAAATACATATGTTGTTTTTAATTTATGCACAAGTGCTTTTTATCTTTAATATTTTTATATATGTTATTTTTTTTGTGACGAAGTTGTGAAGATTCCTTTTACAAATAAATATGTCAAAAGAAAATTGATGGTAAAATATTTCATTCTTGTATTTGCTGTAATAACACAAACCATGTCTAGTCTTCCCTTTTCACTCTTTGATTACTTTTTGTTATTGAGTCCATACACAAGTTCATACTCTGTTGGTTTACCTGTAAGAACTCAACGATGCGATTTTAGTGTATAATGGTGAAAGGACTCGTAGGAGCAGGGCCACGACATGAACGCTCTTTTCCTGACCCCGTTATGATTGGCATGCCAGTGGTGTATTCAGGAGGGGCCCAGTCACCCCCTCCCCCACTAAATTTTTCAAAATTTAAACAAACTGAGAAAAAAAGAAAATTCTACTCAAAGTTTGAGTCTAAGAGTGCCGTTTCCGGCCACCTAGAGGTGCCATAATCATAAATTTTCTTACCTCAGCCCCAATCATGGTGGGCTGAGTAGTACAGACCATCCATCTGTGAAAGTCCCTCTTTGGGCCCCCTCTATTTCAAATTCCTGGATCTGCCACTGCATGTATACACTTTGTTTTCTAGAAATCGGTATAAAATGCACAACAAAAATAGCACCCAATCAATTGGCATACCATATTTTTATTCATAAAATTAATATGAATTGATGCTTCCTTTAGGCCTATAATTTTCAAAATTATACATATTTACATGTTCATGCAATTCATATTCTGGTGTTTCTTTATCATCAGTTATTAAGGAAACATATCTGTCAAGTTCCTCTCATCAAATATATCAGAATATATTTTATAATGCCATACCCCTATCAGAGAATTTGTATAAAACATGGAACTTTTGCAATCCAAGCATTCTCCATGTTAGGTGAAAAAAATAGGAATTTAGCCCATCAATACATTTGTATAAAATATGAAATTACTGCAGTCCAAGCACTCTCCATGCTAATTATGAAGTAACAGAATATTAAGAATTAACACTATGATTGGAATATCACTTACCTCATTTTTGTACATAAAATATAGAAACCAGAATAATATATTTTTACTAACACTTATTATAGAACACTATTTGGAAATTTCAAAACATAAATTGAGGTTCAATACACCAAAGGATTTACAAACATTAAAATAAAATTACAAATTGAAAACCTAAAGTTGACCAGCTGTTTTGGAAACGTTAACTTACTTTGTTCGGACTAGTAATGGTAGTACTTTTACACCTATGACACTGCATATCTACACTCTTAGTTCACCTTCTACTACTTTCTACGTAATACTCGCATTAAAAAGACCCAATTTGAAATACTAAGATATATTATGCATTTTAAAAGTATGAAATTTAAGAAATTAAAGGCAGTCAAAGAAAATAGAGGTCGCCCATTTACGAAGTAAAAATAATGGCATACTCGCAGCAGTTTTTTTTGTACTGTTTTTTTAAAAGCTACTGAGATTTTGACAAAATAAGGAACACTTGTAGTTTAAACACATTCTAGCTAATACACCAATTTAAAGATTTAAAACTTGCAGTAATGTGAAAGTTTTATTAATGGATGGAAAAGCTTAATAAGTTTCAGGAAGCACCAGAAATAACTTCACTCTTTTTACAGAAATACCATCTGTGTTAAAATCATTGGACTGCTCGATTAAAAGGGTCAAATAAGTTATTAACTTCCAATGAGAAACTATGCCCAAATATAGTCATGATATGTCATCATGACCATATTTAGGCATGTCAGATGTTATTGTGAAATAAAATTTGATAGTCTGAACAGGGCTTTAAAGGATCAAATATGTTATTGCAGTGAGAAACCAGAGTTAATTTTGTGTTCACACTGATTTATAGATATTTTACTACAAACAAAATAGTTAAATTGGCTGCCAGCTAAATTAGGGCCGAAGCAAATAATTTAGAAATGGTATAAAATGTATCCATTGAACGACGAAATATTTTATCATTTAGTTTCTAATTGAAAGTTAATAACTTGTTTTAAACACAGGTAGCACATCTTTAAATTGTTGAATTTAACTTAAGCTAGGTTTTTTTTACCATAGGTTATACACAATTATAACCACAACAGTTATAATAAGGAAGTATGTATTATGATTATTATAATTAAAATTATAATATCTGTTTCATTTTATTACTCTAATAAAAAACTTTGACTCCTTCCTAAATTAAATAATAGATAGAACAAAAATAGACTGGTAAATGAGTGAATATCTAAGTGTTACATTATTATTATTGAGCACACATTCTGAAAATATCCAAATTTGATATACTGTAGGCCTTGTAGTACTTAGTGCTGCAAACATAAAATGTATATTCCCTTTGATATCAGAGGGAGTATGTATCACTGTCACATAATACAAATTATTGACCATCATTGGCTAAGTAATCCTTTTTGTTTTTATTTAACAGACTACATAAATGATGAATTGTGAATGATCCAATTATTAGCAATAATTCTTTTTATTGCTAAAGAAATAAAATGAATGCAGAATAAGGACAGATAGTATAGAGTTTTTTAACAGAATACATTCAATACTATTAGAATAATAACGTATAATAATTTATGTTGTTTTCTATCGCTTTAATATTGTGATCAAAAATATATTTTTAAGTGATTTGAATATAGAAAATAACCTACATATTTTTTTATTATTCTTCATACTGTGTTATCTGCTAATTCAATATATATATCTTAAAACTTTGGCTAATAATACAACATTTGAACTTTACGCAATTGACATACTAGTAAGGCAAATTAGCATAATAATTTGCATACTATCTGCAAATTTATTAGTATACTAATATCCATACTATCTGAATACTTATTAGTATCACAAAATTACCATAATAATCAGCAAATTTGCATACTAGAGTATAATCTAATTGGCATACTATTCAGTACACACATTTGCATACTAATTAACATAGGTTACTGCATACAAATTAGCATAATAATTTGCAACCTAACCACAATTAGTTCAGCCATCATTGTACTATAGGATTTTGGATGCAACCATTTATGAGAGGTGGGCAAAAAAACAACAAAACCACAATGGAATGTCAGCTTTACAAGTAATGTCATATTACACACAGGTGACTCATTTGCATATTAAAATAAATTCTACTACATGTGGTTATATTTCCTTTGGGTATTCATGTATTCATTAGTAATGGTGCATTTTCTTTTCTAAATTATGGTACTCTTTATAATTTATCTATACTTTTTACATATCTGACATGAAAACTTGTGTATGCATTGGAAAATGGTTAAAAAAATAAAATGTTGATGGAAAATTTTAATTGATAAAACATCATCAAATTATTGGTAAAAATTAAAGGAGAAATTCATAACAAATTATGATGTAACCTTTATCCTAAACAATAAAACATTAAAACAAAAAGCACATACAAACAGTTTAGTTCAGGGTGAGGTAATTTTGAACTCACTGACATTAACAATAATTTGATGATGTCATATTTACATGAAAATAGAAAGTTTCAATTTAAGTTTCTAATAATTTTATTAAATTAATTAAGCACATTTTGAAATAACAAGGAGTTGGTTTATCTGCTGAAAAAAAAAAAGAACAACTGGCAATTATGTTGAAATAAAATTATCAGTTTAGAACATTTCTTTCAAATACATTTTGAAGGTTATTTTTGCTCACAATCACAACATTATTCTTTCCTCAATACGCCCATACGGTGTATGTCAGTTTAGCATACTCAGTCTCACATCTCATTAACATTAATTTGCATATTGCAAGTCACTTAGCTCTGGACTTCATCTTGGCTTGTATCCATTGGTGGCGGTTTGCTGGAAACTTGGGATTGACCTTGTGTAAGATAGCCAGCGACACCAGGACCTAGAGAAAAAGTGGGGGAACATTGTTACAAAATATAGACTGACCCAAGCAAATTTAACATGTTAGTGAGAGAAGTTTGGCTCAGTCAGCTGAATGGTGGTTTTGAACTGTGGAGATCCTTTGCTCCCTGGTTCAATTTTATCTGTAGCTCTCCTTGTATTTCAGCTAGAGGGCTTCTATAGCAAGTTTCTATAGTGCACCACTTTAGAATGAGACATTTAATCCTTTGGTCCCATGTGCTGTAAGGTCAATGTACACTAAGGACCTAGGCCTACATATCACACTCTAAATTATTGTTCTGCAGGAAAACAAAATGTTTGCCAACAACATATCTCCCCATGGATTAATTCTAGAGAGATTGTTACAGTAGAAATATAATATAAATACATAAATTAGTTAACAAAGAGGATAAAATATTGACAAACACAAAAAAAAACCTTAATATCACAAGGTCTACTATTCTGCACAATATGTGCAAAAATAACCAAATCTTTTACCTGTTAAATAACCGGATATGTTTGATTCTGAAATAAACAGATCATGCTTCTGATCCTTGTAGGCTGCCCATACGTCTGATTTATCGAGTAGTTGCTGCACCTAATGGTTGATAGAGAGAGATATTGATGTATTTGTCAAGGAAGCTAGTGAACATTTTATATTAATTATAATGTATTTAAAAGCTGAGATTTTACTGTTAATACCTTTTCTCCATTCTCTAAACAGTTCAACATGGCTTTAATGGACTTGACGATCTGAGCCTTGATGCCTGATGGGTTCGGTAGATCTCGCATACCACTCTCCAGCAAGGTCAACAGAAAAGGTATCAGGTCACGCTCTAAAGCCTACAACACACAAAGCATATATATAATAAAACAAATACAAACATAATAATAATAATGATAATGGATAATAAAAAATGATAATTACAAATCATACTTAATATTATTATTATTATTACATTTATACATATTTTCACAAAATCTGACGAAGCACAGTCGTCAAAACTACTGGTAGCCATGCTGTGTTTGTGTACAGAAACATAAGACCATCACGTTACCAGGGCAATACCATTGCTGCTCTCCTTGCATTTGAACTAGAAGGCTAAAGCGCAGTTTACTTTACTGCACCATTTGTGTTCATCAAATTTATATACTGCCTTTAAATTCCGTCTTCTGGTATTTTTACTATATCTCCTGAATTTGCTCAACAATACTCAGCTGTAAGACCCTGTGAAGTGCAGATACAAATATGATGCAGCCTATATTTTGAATAGTAGCACTTACCTGGGCTACAAGTTCTGGGTAGTTCTTTTGGAACATCTTATGCATGGCCTCACAGGCCAGGCCCGTCTGATCCGGTCTCTTCCTCATTCCCACCATGAAAGGTCCAATGCAGTCATTCTGTGCCATGCTTCGCACACAAGCCTAAGGAACATAGAAATAAGATTAGTGATTGAGTAGGCAAGGAGCATTCTTATGTTCCTTCGTCTTCTCATGGAGCGTGTTTCACTTTCTCTTGGCAACCTGTGCGGTCCACTACTAACATATGTAAATGTCCTTCTGTGGGAGTTGCTGTTACTTATGTATGTTTCCTAGCCAATTTGATTCAGGTTTCCCCACGGGTCTTTGAACTCTCAGATATTATTAAGTATGTTTTGTTTTAATGGGTGAGAAGAAATATAAAAAACATCAGTGTTTCGTTGTACACGGAGCATGTTTCACTTTCTTTTGGCAACCTGTGCTGTCCACAGTTGCTGTTTCTTTTGTATGTTTCCTAGCCAAGTTGATTTAGATTTCCCCACTGGTCATTGAATATTATAGATATCATTACATATGTTTTGTTTTAACGGGTTAGAAGAAATATAAAGAACATTAGTGCTTATTTGGCAATACACTCACCTCACTCTCAACTAATCTGTGAACCACCATCATACTTGACTTTGGAATGGCACTGTTACGGGATCCCATTGCTTGGAAGATATTTGGAATGTGACCTAGCTGTGGCACCTGCTCAGCATATGTAGGCTGAGCGGTGAAGAATAGGACTATTGCTGTGGTAACTGCCTCCAACACTTGCCCCTTTGTATGAAAAAGAGAACAATTTTAAAATAAAATAAGTATACAATATTGGAATACATACACACATATGAATACAATACCATTGTCACAAAAATCTTAGTCAAACATTAAGCACTTTTTAGTGCATTACTGCAGCACCATTAACTGTTTTCATCAAATCACTGGTGACATACTTAAAGGTTATCTTATCCTTATGCAAATAAACATGCAATATGTTTGTAGAGCCCAGATTATCAAATTTTCTTTGACAAGAAAACTGTTGTATTGTATGCCCAAATATAGTAATGATGTGCCTATATTTGGGCATACAATACAACAGTTTTGTATTGTATGCCCAAATATATTAATGATGTGCCTATATATAGTCATGATGTCATTTCACCCTATCAATATTTAGGCATGTCATAAGATTTGGTCAAATAACATCATAAACATTTACAAGCTAGAACCCAGGAAACAGAACAAATAAAGAAATTTAAAAAAAAACACAATTTAGAATCAATCTTATCTTACATCTGGATTGTTCTTGGAAATAAGCTCTGCAAACTTCTCTAAGAGTTCAACCATAAATTCCCGAGGCTTCCTAAGCACCCAGCTTGGTTGTGAGATGAACAGACGGAGGAACACGCCAGCTATCGTCAACTCTCCCTCCACATCTGTGTACACTACAGCAAATTCCTCCGGCAGCTGATAAACAAATTTTTAAAATGTAAACAGTTGAAGGAGTTACCATAATATGGCCTAGAGCATCAAATTTAATCTCTCAGATTTCACAATGTCGAATTTGAATTTGTTACAGTACGTGGCAACAATATAATTATAATTTTAATTTTGAAAATATCTTTGTTATAAAGAGTGCCTATATATTTTTTTAAAATATAACAAAATTTACCTTCCATGTAGCATCTGGATTGTCCTTCTGGGCATTGAAATGACTAAAAACAAATAACAAATTGTATTTAACTAGAAGTAACCTAAACTAGATTTAAATGATGCATAAATGTATCATTGGCTATCAGGTGACAGTGTCACATGATTAGATCATCAACTAGTTCCTCATACTCTAATCATTTTTTTTATAACATTTATTTACATTTTTATAATTATTATATTGTACCAATCTTTGTATTTTATTAAGGTTCAGCATTTTAGGAGTCCATAAGTTAATTGTTTTACTTCATTAACTGACATTACTTTATTTAAAAAAAATATCATACTCATTTTTCATCTTTCTCACAACTGCAGACACCTTTTCTCGTGCTTCTTCATTCCAGATCAACTCAGGGTTTTCATGAACACCTTAAAAAAAAGAAGAAAACATCAAAGTTTTGCTTGTTATTTCAATACTATCAAGTAGCAACAGGCACACATCTATTTCTACCAGATTGCAGCAAAATTAACTATAAGCATGAGAACGTTTAAGCAGAGTGAGCTGTTCTCTTTCCATACTCTTTAATACAACAAAAAAAAACCCAATACATTAATATTATATGGAGGCAGTTTGGCGCAGTGGAAATGGTTTGGTTTCTCAACCTGGAGGTCAGGGTTTTAATCCTTCTCAAGTGCATTTCGCTTGTGTCCTTAAGCAAGGCACTCTATCTACATTGCTTTAGTCTACCAGCTGCTGCATCAATGGGTACCAAATTGCTGGGAGTAACCTGCGGTGGACTAGCGTCCCAGCCAGGGGGAGCATCACAACCTCATCTGCTTCACTCTATTTGAAACTGGGAATAAGCTCCAGCCCTATGAGTCCTAGTGGCTCAGCAAGGATTTACTTTTTACTTTTTATTAATAGTATAGGGTAGAATTTAATTTATCAGGATTATATAGGGAGAGTGCCACCTTACACTGCTTGATGGAGTCAGTTGTATAAGGAATATGATACAAGTTGTTCTACCTATCTTGATGGAGTCAGTTGTATAAGGAATATGATACAAGGTGTTCTACCTATCTTGATGGAGTCAGTTGTATAAGGAATATGATACAAGTTGTTCTACCTATCTTGATGGAGTCAGTTGTATAAGGAATATGATACAAGTTGTTGTACCTATAAAAACATATGCAGTGGAAATTCAACTGCAATCAATTGAAGGGTATGAAATCAGTAAAGTGGAACCGTATTTCCTATCTTTATTCATTGCACTTACCCTCAAACATATGTATACTAGCCTCATGGCTGTCACGCATGGCATCCATAAACACAGGCGGTAAGAATTTTGACAACAGGATTCTGATACGTGGACCCATCAATTTGTCTGTCAGGATTTTAGCGAGCAATTCCGCCGTCTTCTCACGCACTGTTGGATTTGTCGCATTACAGAACATGTCCAGTAAATAGATGATTATTCCTGTGGGATAAAATAACAAGAAATAATATGCCAAATCAAGGTATTACTTAGAGCATCTATGGATCTGAATGAATAAAAATATCTTGAACAGTGACACGACAAGCTGCTGGGTTCCATTGGCCTCCGCCAGAAATAGTCATATCCCCTGTCAAACACCTCCCCAAAACAAATTTATATCGTAGAGCACCACTGATCACAATGCTTTCATGCGTTATGTTCTCCAAGACGCAAAGTTTGAAAGTTTTTTTTATTAACTGTTTCCAACAATCAGGTCAATATGGATAGTGGTTGAAGATTTTTCTAGAATTAGCAGTAGTTAACTTCATTCAACGAAAAATTGATCCCCGCCCACTCAAGGTTCAAGATTCAAGATTTATTTATTGGCCAAACGTAAGTAATAATATGAACATGATTCAAAACTGGTTGGTTATACATGCACAACATTTTTCCATTGTCTAATATATGTTACTAAAATATAAAACATCAAGATTTTTTTTTTTTAATGTGCTTATCTGTATCTCATTAACGTAGTAATTGAACGCACCAAATTGTGTGTGCCACTGAAACAAAAGTGTATGTTCAGTTGAATAAATAAATAAGCACAAATTGCACTGAAAAAACCATTGATAAAGTATTGGAATGTAGTTAAAAGCATGTTAAAACTTCAAGACGAGGTAAAATATTAAAAGCAGCATTAGGCTGAAGTTTCCTTTTTAAATATCAATAAAATTATTCCACATTTCATTAAATTGTCACATGAAGACAACTGGCTGAAGAGGGTCAAACAACTTGTGGTTAATGGTAACAGTGGACATGGTAGAACTTGCAAAAACCTGAACTCATGTAATTACAGACGAATTGACTCTAAAATGAAGAAGATGATGATGATGATGGCATGTTAAAATATTAAAACGAGGTAAAATAAAAAAAAACATTAATAGCTGTTACAAAAAAATAATAAAAGCAGCATTTGGCTGAAGTCGTTCTAAATATCAATAAAATTTACCTCTTCCACATTTCATTAAATTGTCTCAAGCCAGATGGAAGAAATGATTTCCTAATTCTTTCTGTCTTCTATCGTGGATACATTATGCAACCAGTTCTGCTAAATTTAATATATTGATGAAGAGGATGATTTGTCTGATAAGATTACTTTAAATTTATAATTGCCACGCTTCCAACAGATACCTGTTCCAATTACTCTTTTAGCAATTTTCTTGATTCTATTTATTTTATTCATGTTGAGTTGACAATAGTGGTATCATTACATGTAATAGTATTATAGTTATAGGAGACCCTGCGAATAAAACCAGACTATTGCACAAAAAATTAAAACAACCGATTCGTAAAAAACACCATGATCTTGTTACAAACATGAAATTTCTTCATTAGTCAAAGAAAATATAGCCTCTGATAGCATTTGTTAGTGATCTGTTTCATACTACCCTTCCAGTCTAGTTTACTATCAATAACAGTGCATAAGTATTTGTGATTATTAACTTCCTCTATCACCTTGTTCATACCTTTACTAATAGATTCCTTGACAATCTTGGTATTTGATGTAAGGGCGTACATAGTTTCAAGCGCCGTCAGCCGACCCGTAGGTAATGAGTGAAGGACCAATAAGAGATATGCTAAGACATTGGAATCAGCAATATTGTCGACACAGTCTTTGCTACTAGTTACACTGCAGATTACCTGAGATCAAGAAGATGACATTAGTATTGAGATTTAGAAAGGTGAGAGCAGCACAGCAAAGTTGGTTAAAACAGGTGGACATAATCACACGAATCAGAGGTGATGTTGTTGGTCTATGAATGCGATGTCACATAAAGTCATCTGCACATGTGAGAACGTTCGAGTTCTCGCAATCACGTGGATTCTAGTACACAATTTGGCTAAATCTACGTTGCACAGAGAACGTAGGATGGTCACTCATGAGTGAATCCGTTCTAGAGTCGCATCAAGCGCAAATCAAAAGCTCCCTACTTGTCTGGACGAACCAATTTAAGCCAGAAAAAAAAAAGATTGCATGTGGCTTGGTGCTCTAAGGTAATCTCTTTGTTCCACTATTTAGCAGTTCTATACTCGTTCACGGGGAAAAACAATTGAGGCTTGTTAAGTAACGTTCATGCATTATATACACCTGGGTTACACGATTTTATTATCTTTGGCAGTTAAGTTCCATTAGGAATCTGGCTAATATCGGCTATTTAAAGCAAAGCTTAGAAAACAATGACGTAGAATATAAAACTTTCAATTCGGCAGTCATTAAATATTCTGTCTATGAAACTCCCTCACCTCTAATGCTAATTGTTGCAATTTTGCAGCCCCTGTAATCCTAAGGAGTGAGAAGATAAGTTTAAAATGTCCTATGCACTTGGCCTCTGTTCCTGGATTGTTTTTTATGACATTTCTAAGCCCCTCTAGTGCCATCTCAGAGTTAGAAAGCTTTGAGGCTTGTTGGCTAGTTTTGCTGGTGTCAACGTCCTTTGAGGTTAGGGCCATGAGTGAGTGGAGGTACTGCGCCATTGAGCCCAGGTAGTCAAGCAAACTGACTGTAAATCCTTTAGCATCCTATAAGAAAAGAAAAGGCAGTACATAGGCTTTAAAATTCCAGGTAATAAATCTTCATATACATCTATAACTAAATAATTTATTATGACGGTTACATCTTTAAACTTGTTTTCTTCAAAAGGTAGTTACAACACTGTTGTAAACAGACAAAATACACACACTACTAAAATGTTTGAGAGTCTTCATGAAGTCACACCTCCTTACTTGAGGTGACGCTGCCAACTTAACAGTGCACGGTAGTTGAGCCACAGGCTTACTGTATCCTCGGTGGAAGCTATCGGAACCCAGCATAACTGACACCTAGGTAGCTGCGTGTACACGGTAGTGATGTCAACGCTATCTCAAGATCGAAGGTGTGCGTCTTCCTCCTACCCTTTGTGTTTGAGCATGTTCATCAATGTAAATTTTAGTTTCTTAGTGGCTTGAAAGCACCTTGAGATGGTTTTTACCATGGAAGGCACTATAAAAATACATGACCACTGACTTGTTTGATCACATAAGTAACTTTGTCTCTACTTGTCCTATGTATTATTCATGAAAGGCAGCTGCTTACCTCTAGAGGGAATGCAGGTTGTTCATTAAACACACGAACAAAGATTTCACCAATTACCAACTCCTTTGAATGGGCACTGAATACAAAGTCGGCTCCCATTTCCTCATTCGTCACATCCTAAGATTTAAACAAAACATTTAAAGAATGAATGAAAAAACTTCAAAGATACAAGAAAAGTTATGAAACTCAATACCACATCTGGCTATCCCATCCCATAATACAGCATACAAAATGGTTGATAAAAGGTCTTACGTGTTTTGATGTCTGCTGTCTGTGAGAATACTCCATTAATTCTGCCCGCGTTGAATTGTCCCAAATCAAATATGGATTCTCTGTGTTACTGTTTAATACTTTCAGAACCTGCAACACAAAAATAATAATTATAATTATATATAATATCAACTAACTTTTACTTCTATTATTTAATTTTATTTAATGGCACATAAAAAGTTTTAAAAATATAATAAAATCACAGACAATTCATAATACATTCTTAATATCAATTTAATTACAACAAATCAACTATCATCAAATAAATCTTCAAAACTATACCCGGTAAAAAATGAAAGCACAAATGAGACAATCAAAATGCAGTGAGACTAAATATGTCCTGGAACATGCAAAAAATATAGAACCACATGTATATCAATCCATCCTATGTATTTTGTTCTGTTATCTGTTCCTCCTATCCAATTCATTTCATAAGATATCTACCTCTCTATCTAATCATAAAATCATCCATTTATTCATTCAATAAATATTTTATCTCACTTCGTCCACTTACCTTACAATCGGATAGGAACTGCATTTACACATCAATCTATTACATTCCCTTAATATATCTATCAACAATTACAAATACAATGTCAGCCAATCACAGAGTACGCACCTCATTAGGGTTTTCTGTGCCAAGCTGCCTTGCAAGGTACGGTGTAAGTAGACAGTTCAGACACTTCTGAATCGGGATGTTTTCTGGTGTCTTTTCTTCCCCGGAGGTAAACCCTGCCAGACGACCCAATGAAACTAGACTTCTTCTAGCAAGATCATTCGCTACTTCCTAAAAAATATTTTTAATGTGATAAAAGTGATAATGATAGTGATCTTGATAATAAAGAAAACATAGTACCTTTCAAGAATACTATCCTCTCTAGGTTTTGTATACTGTATATGATAGTTTATGGTGTTATGTATTATTAGTGCAATTGTCAACTTATAATAAACAATGCTATTCCAAACTATTTACAATTAAAGACAAAATTTGCTGTTATTCAAATTCATAATTCTAGAGTATTAAAGTTATGGTTATATTGTACAAGCCTCATTCAAACTGTAACTAATGTAATCATGAGATGCTTAGCCACCAATGTACAGCTCTACTAGTTAAAAGAATATACAGGTAGTACTGTTACAAATATTTACAGTATTTCATTTTGTGGACTATTAGTTCCGAATAGAATCCAGACTATATCTTCACAAAGATAAGTGGCCTTACTTGTATACTGTAGGATTCAGATTATATTTTCACAAAGATAAGTAGCCATTGGTTGTATGATTCAGATTATATTTTTACAAAACTCAGTGTCTTTAGTATTATATCATGATTCAGATTATATTTTCACAAAAATAAAAGGCCTTGGTTGACATGTAACAACTTTATTAAGATTACATGAGCAAGATTACAAGTCAAAGCCCATGGTCTATAGTCTATTTGCACCAAGGTTGAAATATAGCGTGAGCCACTTCATAGCCCGTCAAGCAAAGCGTACCTACTGTACACCTGGCTGAATTTATAAAAGTAAAATATGACACAACATAAAATAAATCACATTAATAAGAAAGAAATTGTGACAATGCAGGACAAAAAAAAAGTGCTGCAAGAAAATAATACAAACAACGTAAGAAAAATCAATTAAAGAGAAGAAATTTAGCTTTGATAGAGATTATGGGTTTTAAATGACCCTGGACTCAATTTTTTATCAATTGTTATATAATTGTTATATAAATGTTAGACTTCTGTCACCAGGAATTCTACCATACATACTACATGAACTTCATGTTCGTTAAGTTATATGAATTTTTCACTCATGCAAACGTCTCGGTTAATTGTATCATTATTAATTACATTTCATTAGTTGTCTTTCTTCCAGAGAAAAGATAAAAAATACATTAAAACACTACACTAAAGCTGGATATGCATTATCATATTTTGTCTGACTTAAGACAAAGTCTGATTCAACACTTTCTTAAATCTGTCAGACTTAAATTAATGCATAATCAGACTTCACCTGATGAAGAAAAGCCTAGTCCATCTCTAAAGAGAAGTTGAAAAATGACTTGTTTGGACAGATATGACTGAAGTAAATCTAATTAGACATGGTGTTGCAGGCAAAAATGCGATAATGCTGTCCAGCTTAAAGTACAATCAATTAGACATTTACATCAAAAACTACAACCAATTCTAATGCTAATTTTCAGATATTATTCAAATAATAAACTTGTCTGATAAAAATTCAACAAACAATAACATAAAAACCAAAAAGTTAAGCAAGTCTTCTCATGCCAAAAAATAATATAAAATGGTATGGACTTTTATTTTAATTAATATAAATTTATCTTAGGCATGGACACTTAATTATTTCTGGAATAAATTTAAATTGCATTTCTGGGTATTTTTTTGCAAGTTTATCATTTATAGAACAAATCTGGAAATGTTGTTGTGTTTTATCAAACCTGTAGATTCGTCTGTTCATGCTAAACCGAGAAAAGAAAATGTGAGGAAATCTATGAGTTAAGATCATAATGAAAATTACATGTACCATAAATAATCAAATACTGTAAACACTGCAGCACTGACTTGTTATTGATTCCAAAGTATTTTCAAGTTTGGCAATCAGCAAAAAAAAAATCAAGTTTTGGCATGGTGGTAACTTCAGAGAGCTTATTTCAGAGAGACATTTTTATGGTCCATGCAAGCACATAATTCAATTAAATGTCATAATATAAACTCCCATCCATTGTCTTAAAATATAGGATATTTAATACATTCATTAATGTTCAATTTATTAATGTATAATTACTTCTTTTTTAAATATGAGGTCACTCTCATACATCTTACCCCTCTGCATTAAGTATTATATGAAAAATAAATTGATATATAAATATTTTAGCCGTTCCTACCTGCTGGTTAGTCTGTCCGCTCTTCTCTACTCCCGATTCCTCTAACGTGAAGTCGTATTGAAATAGGAAGATGAGAAGATGCCAAATAACACCGGCCTGCTGGAGGTGGTCCTGCATGAACTTGTCGACGGCAAAGGCACTTACGCAATTGGCGGCCACGACACAAAGCGCAAAAAGTTTCTGAAAATATCAAATGCAGATATTTCATACAGCGAAGAGTATGGAGGAGTATACAGAAAACATCTTAAAAAACAGAAGGTGTAACACCAGTTGGCAGTTACTAACAATTTTTTACACATTCGTAACATTTAACATAACATTAGCAATAATATAAAAAAGATTTAAATGTTGTATAATCAACATTAGGCAATTGAGGGCGCTATATAATCAAATTTTCTTCTTATGGAGTCACTACATAGCTAGTGTGTATGATCTAGCTTACGTAGTGTGGTAGAAGGATTCGCAGGTAGGATGGATATCTGACATGGGTCGCGTCGTAAGCACTCCTTCTGTGGCCGGACAGGGGACTAGAGATGGACCAGTACACCGGGGTAACCCCCTACTCTTCTCAAATGTATATGTAAATCCTTGCCAAGCAATCAGGGCTCATAGAGCTGGTGCTTATCCCAGTTTCTGCAACCTAAAGAGGATAGAGTGTGATACTCCCACTGGATGGGATCGCAGGTTACTCTCAGCAATTTGCTGGTCCCCATCGATACAGCTGGGTAGACTAAAGCAATGTAGATAAAGTGAATTGCCCAACGACGCAAACGAAGTATCGAAACAACGGCCTCCAGGCTGGGAAAACAAGTCATTCCTACTGCACAAAGCCACTTCAAATTAAAACAATTAACACAAAACACATGAAGGTATTATATTTAATAATTAAATATTGGTTTAAAATCAATAAAACATTAGGATTATGTGCACTGTCAATACCTGGTAGAACAAAGTTTTTGATAAATCTTTGATGATGGATGGAATCTCTGTGATATTGTCTCTGCATGCCTCAAATTGCGCCGCCACAGTATAGCATTTGATAACATTGATGCAAACCTGAGATAAAAAAAAAAATGTATTCATTTAATAACAGGTGACTTGGACAGGAATGGATGATTCTATTATTCTTTAGGGAGGTCCACAACTAAGACAATAGTCAGATTTCCAAATAAGTATTCTCCAAATAGAATCTATGATGCTCTGTATGACGATTACAGTGTTGATTTGGTTTTAGTATAACGTCTAAATGCATTGTACAGTACAATTTATGCTATTATACATAACATCCAAATAGTGATGTGGATACCATAAAAAAAGAGTGCATATTATTATGCAATTTCAGTGCCTATCTAAATTGCTCTCTATTTCATTATCTGACTTTTTTACTGATTACAAACACCTGTTCTTACCTGGACTTGGACATCGTTTGGATTGCTTGACTGTGAGAGGATTGAAACACAGCGTGAGAATGCTCTCTGAAGGATCTGCAGAAAAAAACAAAATTAATTGGAGTTCTTTTTGCGCAGGGCTATTGGAACAGCCCTCTGAAGAGTACTTGATAACAAACAATCAAGTAATGGATTATTAGAGAACATTCTGTGGCCTGAAAAAATGAACAAAGGAATGAATGAAATAAACAAATACATGGATAAAATTGATAAACTAAAAGATAAATAATAAATAAATAAGCTGTAACATACCTCTATTCCATTTTCTCTCCTAAGTTCTTCAGCATTCAAGGCAGAGCAGTTGACAGTGTGGAAAGCTAGTTCACAAGCTGCGGCAAGTAAGGGGACGGGCTTGGAGAACAGCGACTTATCATCTGTCTCCAGTGTTATGGTCTTCAGTAACATAGGATAGCCTGCATACTTGTACGGTTCAAGTACTGCAAGGTAAAACAATTAGGATTATTATTTCTGGTGCCTCTACTACCACCTCCAATACTATTATCACCACTCCCATCTATGAATACTATTCATCATCACCACTACCTACCAATACCATCACCATCACCACCACCTACCAATACCACCACCATCACCACTACCTACCAATACTTCTATCATCCCCATCACCACCTACTGTTACTACAACCTTAACCACCACCTTCTAATACAACTAATATCACCACGACCTACCCATACTACCACCACCACCACCACCTACCAATACAATCACAACCACCAACAAATACCACCACCACCTACCAATAATATAATCACCAGCACCCACAAATACCATGACCATCTTACCAATACTACAATCATCACCAGCACCTACCAATACTACCATTACTATTTACCTTCTTTGTATCTGTTGAAAAGAATACTTTGTGTTTTGAGAAGCAGCACCACATTTTCTGGATCTGGACCATCAACATTCTTAGAGCTCTTGGTACATAGGTACTCATATGCCTTATTCACCTTCTCAAACATGTCCCTTCCCTCTGGATTTTTATCTGGATGGTATTTTTGGGCTAGACGGAAGTATGCTTTGCGGATAAAGCCTTCATCGTTTCTGAAATCAAATGAAATAACAAAATATTGAAATTTATATTACTGTAGCTTAGTGAGTTAACATTCATAATTTTGTTCATAATTTGATTTATTCTATATTATATACATAAAATTGTGTAATTATGTATATATATATATGTTATTTATTATAAATAAATTACAATGATAATTTTAAATGACAAAACTTTAAACATATTCTTTTACATACCCTTGTTTGGCTTTTGGAATCTTCAGTGTTTCGAACGCCTCTTCTCGGGACATAGATGGTGGTTTCTTCTCAACCTCTTTCTTCCACTCTTCAAGAATGTCTTTTAAAAGCTTAACCTTGAATTCAAAAGCAGTAAAACTTTTAATCAATCAGATTCAGTTGTTTACCTAACTTATTTAAAATTTAGCAATATATTAAATCCTTAGTTTACTGAATTTTCTGATCATCAATTCAGTAAAATGTACATATTGTGTAGTGAAGTATCAAAATACTGTTGCTATATAGAATATTGATAATTTTAAATTGATTTATAATTCAAGCAATATATATGTTGGTGTATTTAACTTCCTTGTATTTTAAATGCCTCCCCCAACTTACTGGATCTTTGATTGGCCAATCAGGGAACTTCTGTTGATCACATAAATGCCTTAGATAGTAGATGTTGACAAAGAGTTCCTTCTCCAACTGTGGGTAGCTAATGATTGGGATAGGACAGTACTGATATAATGCGCGTGTGTTGCTCTGTAGACGTGGAGTGAAATCGGCAATGTGTGATGCAATCTTCTCAATCATCATTCGCCTAGACAAAACAAGAAAATAATAATGTAACAAAAACATTTACACTCAAGTTTTAATATGATTATTTCATTTCACCTGTCATCCATGACTTGGTTTAAACCCTGAAGGGAGATTTATTATCATCTTAAATATTACCAGTTAAGGGGTTTCTCCATACCGAAGTTACTATCATGTGGTTTATTATTATTCGTAGCATATTACACAATACTTTGAGAAAAAAATGTGTTCTACTTTGAAAATCCACACTGCCTCATACCTCAGTTGGTTGAGTATATAAAATAATGGAAAGTCTTTGGTTTAAATCCTAAAATACATTTTTCTCAGAAAGTTATCATCTATTTATTATATTAAGTAGTACTTGCACTTTGTAGATGTATAGTTCTGTTAGTGTTATAATCATTGGCATAGCCTGAAAATCATTGACATAACACCACCTTATCCATACCTCATCTCGCTATTCCATATTGCTTCTGGGGTGTCAAACTCCCCAAGGTATGTTTCCGCAAACTTCTCTGCACTGTGGTTTTCCAGGAAGTGTACCATGGCCTCTGGTAAGATATGACCCAGGATGCTACGCTGCATCACATCCGAACCTTTGTTCTGATAACCGAAAGTTTTAAAAAAATTAATTACACGAAAGATTTCTTTAATCTTAAAACTAAAATATCCTTCAGAAATTCAAATTTAATTGAATAGAAAATATCTGTGTCCTCAATGGTGACTCTAGGATATATATTCAAGAGGGAAACAAAGCTGTCTGACAGAGGTCTTAGAATATCAAAGGGACAGGGCAGCCCGGCTCATGTCAAGGTCTGGAGGAAAAGTCATTTTTGGGTGCCAAAAATCTGGCCAATTTTTGGGCATATTTATACTTTCCTGAAAGGTCCTAGAACTTTTAATTCTCATGGAATTATCACTTCTGATGTATGGTGGCCAATGGAGGTTAACAAAAAATACATTAAAAAAACCTTTTAGATATTGTTAAAAAAATACTGGAGAGATACATTGGAGTTTTAGGTTAAACAACTCCACTCCCTAGGTTTCATACATGGTGAATTATTAGCTGTTGTAAATGAATTACATACAAGCATCCATACCTCCTCAGAGCGGAAAGCTTGTTTGGTGTGAGTGTACTTAAGGAACCAAGCTAGAGGAAGTACATTGGAACCGGTGTACATCATGATGAAGAAGAAGACACCGCACAGATAGATACGAGGCATCTGCGGATTGTCTTTTACAATATTTCCCACCAACACAGACACTTTCTCAACCAGAATCGGGTCAAAGGTCAGTAATAACTGAAAGGAAAAATAAATAACAAATTGAAGATATTTTCAAGAGATAAAAAATATTTATGTTAAAAAAAAAACTTGCTGTGATAATCGTAATGGTACATACTTGCACAATATGAGGGAGGCACATAGCGTCTGTTAACAGCCTCTTGGGTTTTGGCAGGGGTCTGATTATAGCGTCATCAGCATCTCTGTAAATATTAATAAATAGAATATTAAATAGAAAGTCCTCCAAGGGGTTTCATACACCAATGTCAGTACAAGAGAGAAATAGTAATTAACTAATTCTAAGGAAAACCATGGAGGTATTATTGAGAAGATCACTCGGCAACAGACCCGCCTTTGGATCGCACATGGGCTTCTATCTTATTATTAACATTTCTTCATTAGCAACTACTTGGCTGAACATTTGGTGGCGGGGAACACTGACTTCAAAGGCAACACATAAACTATCTTCATGAGCTGCGGCAGCTTTGTCCTTGGCGCATTTTCATCGCGCTGCGTGCGGCGAGTTTTTCGAGTGCTCTACTCAATAATATTTCCATGGGAAGACTATAATTAATCTCATTACCTGCTTGGGTAATATTCACATATCCTAATTAGCATATTCAAGATCAAACATGCAAGGTCACTTTCATTCATCACTTGTTGTCCTGTAGCGAGCAACTTCCATTTTAACTGAGGAATGGCATGTAGAGGGCGCCATCCATCAAGACCCTGAGCCCAGCACCGCGTCTTAGCTGTCACATGTCTTGCTTCCCACAATTCTTTAAGCTAGAAGGCAAGAAACACAAGTTACACATGGGTTTTTAGATGTAGCAGAAAATCTAATTTGTGGTTGATTCAAAAATCATTACAGAGACCTAATTTACCACTCCCCCAAAACATTACACACAGATTTGAATAGAGATTTGAAGTGGTCAAGGTTGGCTGAGAAAATAATGGTACCCTGGGAAAAAGTTAAGTTAGTTAAGTCCTTTGCAAGTTATCAGAACTTTTATCAAGCAGCCAAGTCCCAGTTCCTAAACCTTACCTCTTTTAAGCTGTATGGTCCCAATCGTTCTCTTTCCTTGTTTCCATAGTACCACTCCTTCTCCATAGCCATCTCCATATCTGGTGAGGCTTCTATTACATTGGTCTGCAAAGAATAGTAACAGCACTATCAATTTACCATGCATTGTATTTCTTATTAATTAATACAACATTCAATGTAGTATTTGTAGTGGGGCTGTAGCTTGGTGGTTAAGATGCTTGCCTCCTCACCCAGGGTCCTGGGTTCAAATCCTGTGACAACATAGGGTTTTTTCTCGCTTCTAAAACACATCTCCACTGCATTTCAACAATAATTAAAGCATCACATTATTTCATGGAGGGTGCCCCTGATTATCAGCCAACAATCTAGAATACGCTCGAAGTGTCAACTTAAATTTGGTTTTTAAAAAAGTGCGGATGACACTCTCAACTTTATCAACCATCTGTATGACAACTTATATACATAACATAGCCTGGTATATGGCACCACCTGGAATATGCACAACATATGGTGTCACCACCTGGCAAATGTTATGTGTAAAAAATACAATACCTCACCTGAGTTGGGACGGTTGCCCTTGATGTATGCAGATGTGCTAGGGTCAAGATATCTACAAGCACTTTGATACCATTTGCATTGATTAACTCTTTGACATTGCGACGATTCAAGATGAGCTTGTTCAGGAAGAGTATTAAACGATCCCTTTCTTCGCGGTCCGTGCACTACAAAATTTAAAATTACAAATTACGAATGCCAATGCATAAAAGTAATGTTGTTGGGGTATTCTTTAAACAACAGTGGCAATTAGTTGATTTATCCATGTAAGTACTTACAAAGTAGACCATAAATCTAATGCCAAATGTACAATAAGGTATAGCAAATATTAAAAAGGCTAGGTGTCACTTGAATTTCTATTCCAGAGTTGGGAAACAACAAATATGATAAAAAATTGGCCATATGTATACATTAAGATAGTACAGTCGAGTTCGCCTAAGTCGAATCTAATGGGACTGGCATAAAAAGTTCGAGTTATACAGATTTCGACTTGCACATTTTTGAAAAAAAAATATTAACATAGAACAATACTATGTATACCTAGGCCTACCTAGGTCAATTTATAAATTACAGGTTTTACTATCTACTGTAGGTACTGTAGTATCTGTATCTGTATGGCTTAATGCACAGAACCTCACATCTGAGTATATTATTAGTGCAGGCGCAGAGTTTTTCAAGACATTGTGGACCATCCAAAACTTTCTCCAAGTTTGATTTAGATTTATGATTTTAAATTTATTAAATTATTAATTATTATTATTTTTTTTTTTTAGTCGTTATGTACCCGACAGTCGGCTGCCTTTATATTTTCACCTGTTTTCAGTTTGCATTCAAAGGGTACATTGCTGCACAGCCAACTGTCGGGGATATAGTACCTTCATATGACTACTCATACGTATACAACAGAAAAACACGTCGCATGGACTAAGTGAAAAATGGAGATCTAAATGAAGATACGATGTATTTCAGCAAGTATTAAAACATTTTAGTTTTATTTTAGGCCTTCTTCAAAATACCTATGCCTACAGCAGATGATTTTTTTTGCCGTAAAACCAAAATAGTTTCATCCATGCCGACATTCCGGTCGGTTTGCGTGAGCCCTGACTGAACACTGCAGAAACTTCACATCGATCTTCGCATCGCGATGTAAAACAAAATGTCGGAAAACTTTTCTTTGACGCATGCGCATTTGCATAAATGTCTACACACACACACGTGATGTGTATAAGATGACGCATGCGCATTTGCATAAATGTCTACACACACACATACACACTACACACAATAAAAAACATAGGAAATAGCAAGAGTGATTACAATAGTTCCTATTGCATTACATGCATAGGAACTAAAAAGGCTAGGTGTCACTTGAATTTCTATTCCAGAGTTGGGAAACAACAAATATGATAAAAAATTGGCCATATGTATACATTAAGATAGTACAGTCGAGTTCGCCTAAGTCGAATCTAATGGGACTGGCATAAAAAGTTCGAGTTATACAGATTTCGACTTGCACATTTTTGAAAAAAAAATATTAACATAGAACAATACTATGTGTACTCAATGCCCACAAAATCGAATTTCACGCAAAACCAAACATTTTCTTAAGTCCCAAACTCATTCCTATTCTTCTTTTAATAAAATACTTTTTGAAAACATGAACTCCCTATTCCAAATCTCGGACGATTTGTCCAATTCAGGACGGTAACACTCACTCGAAAAACCAGACGATAGTTTAATAGACATCGTTTAACGACAAGCATACCAGACGCTGTGAAAACGAGATGCTTAGCTATACTCGCATTGCCATGGAGATTATCTGTTGATTAACATGACACACCAGTAGACGTTTTTCTTGGTTAATTATGAAGTGAAATTTACGTATTCCAATGCTTTAATAAGTGTATATTCTTGCTTTTAATCTTTAAAACCATTTGGAATCAACCTGCAATAAAGAGGGAACTCAACAAAGCAAGTTTCTACTGGTTACTCTTTTCAGTAGACGTCTAATTCAAATTTGTTACTTTCGTCGGTGTAAATTCCAAATGCACCTCATTCATTCTTTTCAAAACATGTTGCTAATTTAATTATGAAGGAAATTTGTAGAGAATAAAATATAATTTGTTAGGTTTATTTAGATTTGACTTTAAAATATACCATGAGGGTTCCTTATTTGTTCTTTGTTTTGTTTTATAAATTTGTTTAATTAAAACATTCTTGATTACACCGAGCTTGTTACTGTCACGCACTATAAAACTTTGGGCGATCTGACGTCATCACGGCCGAAGCACATGTCTAGTCTGCAAAACACCCCACGAAAATGGACCAATTGGTGGGCAGGAAGAGTTTTTGGGGGCGCAACCTGTTCTGTTTACAACTAGACTGCCGACCAGCAAGTGGCATTGCCCAACGAAGAATGTGTGCTTGGAAAAACATAATCAGACCTAAAGAAATGCATGCAGAAACAATATAAAAGTCCTATCAGTTTTATTGGTAATAATTAAATTTGCTGAGCAGTACAGCAAAACAACTGGTACTGTACGTATTACTGTATTAAATAATGTGTTGAATTTGCGTAGGCTAGGCAGTCAAAAGAATCCAGGGCTTTGATAAATTAATTAAATACCTAGGCCCTGACTACAACAATCTTGTTCGAAATGGGTTCAGTACAAGTTTTGTTTACTAAACTGGACGAAAAACTGAACATTGGAGCCGGTCCGGAGGGGTGTCTGTATTGTGAGAGTAGACTGCAAATTACGACATACGATCATGTGAGCCAAGTTCCACAGCGCGCTGTCTGAGATGTTAGTTTGACATGGCTAACTTGCTGCTGTACAACAAGGATTGAACTTCGTATTTTCCCACGGCTGTGTATTTTCCCATGTGCGCTACTAAATTTGGAACTTCGACTTGTGTGGTTGAAATTACTTTAAAATCGGCCTATCCGGACAGGAAAATTCCGTCGATATAGCCGAAATTCGAAAAATTTGAATTAAACAAACAAGTTACACAGTAATACCTAGGAAAGAATTGGGACTTTTTTAAAAATTCGACTGACACAAATTTTCAACTTAAACAGAGTCGACTTTGGCAGACTCGATTGTATAATACATACTCCAAGTATTAAAATGCACGCCATCATGTCAGGACTCAATATTTCGACATTAATTATGTCATCATCAGGTATGCTGATTGCAGATAATGTATACATTATGTCATTGGAAATCCATGTGTGTTCTTGAAATTATATATCAGTCATTGAAACAAAAAATTATGACAAGGCATGTAGACTGTTATACATATATATGTTATGTATATACATATGCATATACATATACTTATATAAATATACATTAGCATCAATTCATACCCTTTCTAGCATTCCACATATGTACTTAGTATCATTGAAAGTGCCAATCTCTTCGTAACATTTTCCGTAGACAACTGCCATGGCATGTAAACACATACACTTCATGTCAACTTTGCTCGTTAAGAGAAAGCGATGATACAAGTCGTTAAAAAATTCATACCTATAAAAACAATGAAATAATTAATACCATGCATGGATGTATTCACATTATTCACTAATGCACTTTCAAACTTACATCAATTCACAATGGGTAAATATATTTTTATTTATATAAACACAAATTAAAGTATGCATCAGCATGAATCAAATGAGGTAGATATAACGCATGTTTGACTGCATCCACACCAAATCCAAATTTTTGGATTGAAAGGCCTTCCGAACCAATCAGAAAATCAAAATCGGTGTGTAAGAGTTGAGAAGCTGTGTTCAATGCATCGGTAAAGCGGGGCCAAATGAATACAAATAAAAACTTTGCAGATATTGGCCCTTGATGACATTTGTAGCACTGTATAAAATTAAAATTGAAAATGTTTTGACTTACGATTTCTTGATAGCACTTGTCTCCTCATTAGCATCATCAGCTTCAAGTAGAAGTCGCAGATAATAATCGCCAATTTTTATCTCATCTGTTAGGCATTCATAGCGTACTTCAAATTCAACGTGATTCCAAGAAATGACGTGACTGGCACCAAGTTCTCGGTCCTGATTGAAAGCCCTCATTTCATTCTCAAACGCTTCACGCAATTCTTCTCGTGTCTAAAGAGTATGAAATGATATTTCATTATCCAATATATTTGATTTTTTAAAAAACAAATACTAGTAATAATTCAGTATTTTGTTACCTATCAAAAATTTATTTTAAAATGTATTTGTTTGATTATTTTTTTTCTGGTGCACTTAAAAATTTTCTAATTACACATCGTTATGAATAAGGTTACTAACAATAATACACAAATGTTAATAATTATAAGCAATATATACAATTGTTAATATCAGTTAAGTTCATTATAACTTTAAATAATGAAAATACAAAATTATCACTCACTTTGTAATTCCATATAAGATTTGGTTTTGCATGATCTTTATTAAACCTAAAGAAATAAAATAATAAAAATTATCAAGTGATCAGTTTAGGATTGTTATAATCATTATCTCTATAATTTTTTTACCTGCAAATTGACTAGAGATATAAAGGATATATTTTCTTATAGTAGTAATTTCCAATCAATGAAACAACAAATCAATCATCTAATCAAATATAAATCAATCAATCAATCAATCAACCAACCAACAACCAATTTAATCAATAACAACCAATTAACAAATTAACCAATCAACCAATCAATCAAATACAAATCAATCAATTAATAAATTATTCAATCAAACCAATCAATGAATCAGTCACCAAGCCAAGCAATCAACAAATCAAACAAGAAATCATTCAATCAATCAATAAATCAATTAATCATTAACTAAACAATCAAGCAATCAATCTATCATTACTATTACAGTAGAGCCCTTCAATTACGTACAGCACGGGCCCAGAGCCGTTCGTAATTGCAGGTATTCGTAAAATCAGGTTTGACCCAAAATTCCTATATATTTGCACTGGTACTACTACACAGGCATAAACTAGGCCTAGGCTAGGCCTACAGGCCTACGCAGCTAAGTCTAAGGGGGCCTAGGCCTACAGTAGGCAGTTTCTAAGCATTCTGATCCACTCTAGGCCCTACACAAATTTGTTTTTTTAATTGGACATTTTTATCATCTTAAATACCTAGATTGTGGATTTTACTCCAACACAACTTCCATAGATACTTGTTTATTATATATATTGATCATTCAATAAAACAATCAAGCACTATCTTGACTTTTAAAGCTGAAAATGATGATTGAAAGAGAAGTAAAATTTATCGCATGCACATGTGTGAAGCCATAATAAATACTGAATTTGGAGAGGCCCATTAGATGGCCTCCTTCAATTCAGAATTACATAGTACTGTATAGTATGGTATTTTGTGTTGTATGCATGCTAGTAACATTTACAATTCGAGCAGATTTTTTTAAATTTTTTATTTTCACTTCACTTTTTATGACGTCATCACCTTGATTTTACGTTCGTAAAATCGGGAATTCGTTAAATCGGGGTTTGTAATTGAGGATTTCTACTGTATCAGTAATATCACTACTGACATTGTCATTATCATTATTATTGTTGACATTAACTTGTTATATATGTACAATACATTTACATAAGATATGTGGAGGGTTCAAGATCTAACAAAAAGGACTAAGGCCACGGCAGGCCAACTGTTGGCAGACATGTCATTCACTTGAGTTTAACTTACATATAGTAGAAGTACAGCCAGTTGGCTTCACTTTTGATCCTCTGTCTCCGCTTCCTTAGTACTATTGGTTTCTATTGCAAAATATGGGAAACCAATATCAGAAATTGATAGAGTAAAAATACAGAAACATGTGTGAAGTGCATTATCTAAATCCATATGTGTTTTAGCAATGGGTGGCATAAGGTGAGCAAGGCCAATATATGTTCAAGCCATTAAAAAAAACAAACTGTAAGCTTTGAAATTATATGTAAATTACATTACATTAGAATATCGCTATGGACTAAAGCTGACTTTTACACTTCTCAAATTAATTTTTCTCATTTTAGCAATTAAATGTAGCTAAGATTATTGGTGTATTTTCACTCTTCTAGCAGTATCTTTTGCCAGCTTGAGAATTGTAATTGTCTACTAAAATAAATATATTTAATAAATTAATACAATAAATAATAAAAATGTTAGAAAGTATTGCCATGAACAGTATATAAAAAATATGGAAAACAATAAACAATACAACAAAAACCCATATTTACAGCTATAATTCCTGAACGTTTATCCACCACTAAAATAAGTGCAAGACTAAAAACCATCAGCAAAGTACTGTTACTAGATACGAGTACATAGTCATGTACATAACACAGTAACACAACATAAAGCAGTACAACATAACATGCATATATTTTATCTCATAGATATTTTTTTTCTAGCTCCCTGCACAATGTACATTGAATCTTGTTAAGCTCAATATTAATATGATACTGAATATTTGAAGCATGGCAAAACAGAATTTACTTACGTCTTTTTCCTGGTGAATATATGCGGATAGAAAAGAGAAACAATTGGAAAATTTGAGAATGAAATGAAAGGACAGGAAACCCATTATATTCTTGCACATTTTAGCAGTTGTGGTTAAAATGTTTGTGAAAAGAAAACTGCAAACCATTGCACACAAAAATGATAAAGATAGTGGTGGTTGTGGTGGTGAGAATAATAATCATGCCAATAATGATGATGTTGATGATGATGATGATGATGATGGTCATGACAATGGGTATGGTGGAGAGGATAATGTTGACGATGATGAGGATCGTTGTAATGAGGAAGGTGATAATGACCATGATGAGTATGATGATGAGGATGATAAATGATTATGACAATGATGATAATGATGATGGTTATGATGGTTGTAATGAGAAAGTTGATAATGATGATGATGAGAATTATAACAATGATTATGACAATAATGATGGTGATGAAAGATTTGACTTTCGTGATATGGGACAAAATGCTATATATGATATATATAAAACTTTTAAATAAAATTTATGATCTATTATAATATATAATGCTATATAATATTGGGTAATTAAAAACAATGAACCAGCAATAATATGTTATGTGAAATGCCGAAAACCAAGTGTTTTATTCATAAAATAATTTTTTACATATTCTACCTTCTTTGCATAATTCCCTCTGAACTTAAAATTTCATTGCAATTTTCCAAAAAAGACCAAATTAGAAAATAAAACACACAAAGTATACAAAAACATGCTAATAACAGAAAAAAATGAATACTGCCCTCTATTTGCTAAAATTTCTTCCTACTCAAACATTGAATGCATTGCATAACACTTACATCCGTTTTCTTCTTCTCTATGCCTACTCGCTGTTTCCAATGCAATAGCATATTCTCTACTTGCTGCCATTGTAGCCGTGCACCACTTAATGTCTTTGATTGATTCTGGAAGTGCAAAAAAAATCTGTATATTTACATCGACTTCAAAATGGTGGAAGATTCAAGATATATGTAAACTCAATAATTGTCCGGTTTTGGTTTTTTTGTCTTGTAAAGATTAGTCTTGTTTTTTACCTGTGCCATCTTCAGATTATCTCGAATATTAATAAGATCTCGTTCCTTCTCCGGAACTTTATCATCACAGTCTAAGTAACTAAGAAGACCAGTTGGCTGTAATGAAATGATAAGCAAAATAATTATTAAAACAATAATACTTAAATCTGAAGAGTAATCACATATTTTTACATTAAGAAATGTTTATTTAAAAAAGAATTATTACTTTAATTTTAAATCTTTCTTATTTTTTCACTTACAAGAATTCGTTTCAGAAGAGCCATTGCTGTCGGATGACCTGTGACCCAGAGAGCAACCAAATGCCTACTTAACTGCCTAGAGTGTAATCAAAAGGAAGAAACATAATAACTAGAAAATACAACAGTCAGAGGACTATATGATATAAATGTTAATAGTAAAGCAGCTAAGGGACCCATCTGTGCACTTTATTACCAATGCATGAAACTTATCTTTGATATTTGTAGATTTTAAAAAAAAAGTTGTGTGCAAATTTTCTGACACCTGCTAGTGCTATTTTAATTATTTTAATTAAAAATGGCCACATCTAAAAGACGGGATCCATATATCTTGGCAACAACAAATCAGAGAGATTTAATTTTGGTCTCAAATTGAATATTAACAGCATAATATTGAATGCATTGGTCCATTGCAAAAATGATAAACTGTTCAAAATTTAATTCTAATCAGTGCCAAAAATAGATGAATTTGAGTTTCTTATTTGCTCTTGAATTAATAAATTGCAAGGAACATGAATACGTAATACAATGAATAACAGTGACTGTCTATATTTACATAAACAAGCAGGGTATTGTGAAATATTAATAATATACAATTAAATAAAACACATGTTATGGATACACAGGATGCAATATGCTATAATGCTATACATTTATTTGGAAATAGGCCTACAAATTAATACAGAAGACTTTCGAACAACATAGTGATGGCACAATTTTAATTTCACTTTCTTGCCAAATTCAGCCTAAAGCAAAAATGAATTATTTGTCACACTCTAGATGAGTTGTCTTGTACTACCACTTGAATTATTGAAAGGTTTT